AGCAGCAGACCCTAAAGTCACTCCTTGATTGAAAGTTATTTAGGATGGCAAAGCATTTTGTAGCACAAGTTGACAATGCAACCCAAAGTGCTTTCATGAATAAATATGAGCCCATCAGGGCTGCAGTAAACAGTTTTTAATTGCTGGATGGCAAGTAGGTCCGAGTGAGATTATGATAATATATAATGTCAGTTTTGGAACTAATGGAAGTGTTTAGAAGAGGGCAGTCTTTCATCCTAGATACACGTCTACCTTTTGATGAAAGAATATTTCTCAACCCATAATCTTCCTCAGTCATGCTAAAAATTGAGTTCTTTTTTAAAAATAAAAATCCTGCTGGACAGCAAATTTGCCTTTACTGTTAAATCACAGATCGCCTGAAAGGAGCGATCATTCAGTGTGTGCTGGGGGGAGCCTGGCTGTGCAGAACACAGGGAGGACTTGTCAAACACACAAAGGTTGACAATGCGGTTCCTCATCATCACCCTCAAGGGGCGTCTATGTCATTTTTATGGCTGAATAGTAGTAGTGTTGTTCTTTGTTGCTGTCCAGTTGGGTTACCTTCTGTGTAACAGAACAAAGACAGAACAAAATGTGGCCCTGTCCTGCCCAATCTTCATGATCAGTGCATGTTTCAGTCCACTGAATAGTCTACTCCTTATTTGAAAACGCAGAGTTCAGTAAGAAAACAATCCGCATTTCACCTTATTTTAATTTTAAAGAGTAAAAAGATTCACTTCCCATAGTGCCTCATATAGCACAATTAAATTATAAAATTATTTTAATATTTACAAAATGGAGTTTTGTTTTCATTTATTCTCTGCTTATTGACCCTGACTTTCTTAAGTTGCCACCTTTAGAAATGCTCTTGATAAAGATGTAAAATTAATAGGGCAAAATTTCTAGCAAGCTAAAACTAGTTTATTCATTAAAGTCTTAAACGTTGTATGTGGGAAGTTTTTGCAGTAAATGTAAATTATGAATTTAGGTTTTAAAGAAGTTTAATAGCTTTCAGGTTAATCTCCATCTGAAATTCCTTACAGGACTCAGAAGCATAGTATGATAAACTTTTAACTTCATCATAGAGACATAAATCTCCTGCCATTCTCTGAGATAGGAGTGTCTCAGTTTATGGTAGAATAAATCCTTCATTTTCTAAAGTATGTCTTGACCAGAATTTGTATGCATATGTCTTCTGTACCTCTCTTGTTGAAACCAATTGTGTGGTTTAGGAGCTTCTATATTGAGAGAACTATCAAGGAGTTCTAGTAGCATAGAAGTTACAAGTCAGGCTGCTAACCTCAAGGTCAGCTAGGTCAAAACTACTAGCGGCTCCATGGAAGAAAGATGAGGCTTCTGCTTCTGTAAAGATTTACATCCTCAGAAACACGTACAGGGTCGCTATGAGTCGGAACTGAGTCCACGGCACACCACCACCGCCCCATAAACGAATAAGATAGTATTTTTCTTCCTATCTTCAGACACTAAGTGTAGCCAGAAAAGGGCCTAGTATTTATTCACAGTAATACCAAAAAAAAATCAGTGCTGAAGTAGCACGGCAGGATTAACGCACTAGACAGCAAAGTCGGTTTGAACTGAGTCGATGGCATTTAACCCCAGAAACGATGGCATTTAACCCCAGAAACAATAGAAAGAAAACTTTATTGGAAAGATACTGTGATTCTAGCTAAATTGCAAATAAAGTGATATAAGATTAACCTAACCAGAGATGAGGACATGGAGAAAGGGAGCAGCTGAGGATTGAGCTGAGAGAAACCAAGTGCTGGCGGCCAGGAGGCAGGCTTGCAGACTGTTCCCTTTGGTTGTTTAAATTATTATATATTCCTGAATGTTTCTGTGTACATCCCACCCCCATCCCCAAAACAAACAAACAAGCAAACAAAAAACCAGGAAATAGAAGCAAATACTGTTGAAAGATGATACACAGAGATTATAATCATTGCAATGAAACGATGGTGTAAAGTTGATGTTCTCCCATGTAAACTATCACTCAGTTCACAAAAAAACTTATTATATTTATATGTATATATAAAAATATACTGTTTGTGTTTATATACCTACACATATGTATATATAAACACACACACACACACATAGACACATAAGGAGCTCTGGTAGCATAGTGGTTACGAATCGGGCTGCAAACCTTAAGGTCAGCAGTTCGAAACTACCAGCTGTTCCACAGGAGAAAGATGAGGCTTTCTGGTCCCATAAAGATTTACAGCCTTGGAAACCCTGTACAGGGTCGTTATGAGTTGGAACTGACTCCATGGCACATAACAACAACAATACACACACACATATATATAAGATTAATATAAGAAATAGGTATTGTAAGATTTTTATTTCTAAAAATGAATTTTGAAAAGTCTTTGAGTCTTATCCTTGCCATCTTTAAAAATGAAGGGCTTTGGAAGGTCCTTTTTACTCTAACATTCCATTAATTCCTCTCTGACATTTAAAGGTGCTATTATATCATTTTCTACATGTTCACAGTTTTTAAACAACATTGATGGAAGTCTACACTTCTCAGACATATCTGTGTTGGGCAGAAATGGTAGCATGCCAACAGGACTCTTAATTACTTATCCTTGGCCAGTTAGAATTCATGAGAAAAACATGTCTCCAAAGACTTCCAGGAGACAGTATGAAACTAAGTTTGTTTTTGTTTTTTTTTTCTGAGCACTCAAATTTAAAATGGGGCATATTCCTATACTTTAAAGTGTTCATGAATTATTATGTGATGTGGCACTTTGGGTTAATGCACCAGACTGCAAATCCGTTTGAACTGTAAGGTCAGTGGTTCAAGCTCACCAGCTGCTCCTAGGAAACCCTATACAGGGTCGCTATGAGTTGGAACCAACTCGACGGCACTTAACAACAACAACATATATAAATCTTACATCAAAATCCTCATGAATGGTCTGTATTGGTTAAATAAGCCAATTAATTAATACACGTAGCTACTGATAAATTATGTTTATGTAACTTCAGCTGTCCAAATATTAGGAAATATCAAGATATTACAATCACTGAATTTTTAACTTTTCATTTCGATGTTTTATGTCACACTATCATAATACAGAAGGAATTCTGATCACAAAGTGGTTACAATTTGTGCTGCTAATCTCAGTCAGCAGTTTGAAACTACCAGTGGTGCCTCTGGAAAAAGATGAGGCTTTTTGCTACCATAAAGATTTCTAGCCTCAGAAACCCTATGCAGGGTCACTATGAGTGGGGACTGACTCCACAACATAAAACCATCATCGCCACCATAATATAGGAGTCCTAGTGTGGTACTGTGGGCTAATATCCTTGACTGCACGTTCCATTTGAACCAGAAGGTTGGTGGTTCAAGTTCACCAGCAGCTCCTTGGAAACCCTATACAAGGTCGCTATGGGTCAGAACCGACTCAACAGCACTTAACAACAGCTTTGCACTGTAGGATAAGCACTTGCCCACAAGGTGGGGGTCCAAATTCACCAGCTGCTCCTCAGAAACTCTATACAAGGTCACTATGAGTCGGTACCAACTCGACGACACTTTATTTTTAAAGACATATTTGCTGTATATATATTTCTGACTCTGGATTTACTTTTACTTTCAACTAATTATCCTCATGATAAGAATCCAAACTTAATTACTTTAGGAAATAGTGTTTTTTTTTTCATTCTGATTTAATATAATTTATATTTTGTCTATTTTGACTTACAAATAAAAGAAATACGCATATGAGGGTGAGTCAAAAATTATCCGTACTCTCAGTGTAGAATTTATTTTAGTCAACTTTTAGACAAATAGATCAGTTTTTGACATATCTTTTAGCTTTTAAATACATTTTGTCCATCTGTCAGCAGATTTTAATACTCCCTTATTTAAAAAATGTTTTCGGCTGAGCTACGAGCACGAATACACCACTTGACTCACTTCTTCATCAGAGGTGAATCTTCATACTCGAAGGGCTACTTCCAGGGGACCAGACAGGTGAAAGTGCACAGGAGCCAGATCCAGACTATAGGGAGGAAGCAGAGTGTCAACAGTGTCGACAGAGGTGTGAGGATGTGCACTGTCATGCAAGATCACAACGCCCTTGGATAGTAGTCTTCTGCATTTAGTCTGAAGTTTATACTTCAGGTCTTCAGTGAGCACTTCTCACAGTAATGAGCACTGTTGATTGTTGAATCTTTCCAGATAGTATTCCAATACTGGCCCTTGAGAATTCCAGAAAACTGTAAGCATCGATTTTCCATCTGATGGGTGACTTTTGAACTCTTTTTGGTTGGAGATTGAAGATGTTCCCATTTCATATTCTGACATTTACTCTCAGGTTCATAGTGATAAATCCATGGGTCAACACCAGTAATGATCTTTTTTAAAGAAACTTTCACCTTCCTTCAAGTATTGGTCCAAATTTTGTTTGCAGATGTCCAAACGCTTCTGTTTATACTCTTCAGTGAGATTTTTTCAGTATCCATTCTCACACAAGCTTTTCAAAACCCAAGTTTGTTGTGGATTATTTCACAGATGCTCTAGAACATGGCTGATTTGCACATAATGGTTTGCCACATAATTCACTGTAACTCCTGTATTCGACAACATCATTTCACATGCATACTCAGTGTTGTCACTAGCCGTGGGCATGGACAGTGTTTTAATATAACTGGAGTGCGGATAATTTTTGCCTCATCCTCGTATATACATATATATCTGAGAGGGCTTCAAAAGTTCACGGAAAATGGAATTAAAAGATGAGGATGGAAATTTTCCATTTACTTTTTGAAGACTCCCTCATACACATAAAGCTGGAAAAAATCTATCACTAACTTCTTTGAATTTTTAGAGACAGAGAAAAAACAGAAAACGAACTTTAAGCACAAGATGGGGGAGAGGGGTTATAATAGCAACACAAAGAAAGCAAAGATGAATTTTCAAATGTCATAAATGAATTTCAATTTTAATTCCCCATTTTCCTATCCAGAACAAGTGCCACCCAGGACCAGTTTTCGAATGGATTCCTCTGGCAAGTATTCTTCAGTATTCACAGTGCTGTGAACAAAACATCTTCCATTTTGTGTAATAAGTCATTCTCCCAAGTAGTATCAGTCTATTAGTATAGCACCACTGTGCTGATTCTATTTACCTACATCAGCACCACTGTGCTCATTCTATTTACCTACATCAGCATCTACTCACATCATGGTGACTCTATTATGAATGCCAAAGAAACGAAAGACCAAAAACCAATCATACATATGAATTTTATTTTCCATAAAATGCTTTAGAGAAACTAGGTTAAAAGATAGTTTTAAAGATTGACTATATCTGTACTATCCAATATGATAGCTTTTAGACACTTAAAATGTAAATTGAAATGCACAGTTAAGTGTAAAATCCATGCCAAATTTCAAAGATTTTTGAGCAAACTAAAAAGAATGTCTCATTAATAATTTTATATTGCTTAATGTTGAAATGATATTTTAGCCATTGTGGATAAAAGAAAATATATTATTTTTTCCACCTGTTTCTTTTTACTTTTATAGATGTGGCTATTTACTTTTATAGATGTGGCTACTAAAATATAAAATTACATATGTATGTAGCTTGCATTTTACTTATATTGGGTAATACTGGACTAGACAAGAGGATTGAGTCATTTCCAAAAAAATTTTTAGAAAGTTTACTAACATTGAGTTAAATTACTTTCCCATAAATTAAATACCTATATCAATTAAAGCTGTTTGAAACCATGCCTATATTAGTTTCAACTATTATGGCTCTGAACTTAAGAGATTTTAGTGGTTTGACTTAACTACCATTCCCACAATTCTTAAAAAACTATTTGATTCCAGCTAAAATGTTTTATATTATTTTGGAAATACAAGACGGAAAGGAAGAGTTAGGTTTTGTTTTTTAACTCTTAGGATTAGCAATGGAAATGCACTGAATTAGCTGCTTAGAGCGCTGAATTGAAAGCCAGATACTGAAACAATTACAGAAAAAAGTGTTTCATAATACTAGCACTATTTCAGGTCTGTGGGCTCACAGCACACATCTCTGGAGTGTTTCCATGATGACAGCTCATTATCCATCTCAGCATGTTCTAACACCCCTTGGAGAATATATGTGTTTGAAATAATTTCATCTTGTAAGTTTCCATGTCATTTTTTGGATATGCAGAAAATATGGAAAATATTCCTTCTTTTGTCCTCATATTGTCTAATATGTTTGCTTAAATTGGTTTGAAAACTTTTAAAGCATGATTGTTCTTACTGACTACAAAATCTTTATACTTTGTAATACCTAATGTCCAGAGAGAAACGTCATCAGAACTACAACATGAGAAGGGATTAGATTCAGCTTCTAAATCTCAGTTTACTGGTCACAACATTCTCATTTCTTAAAAATCTTAGCTTCTGGATGCATTTTACTTAAATACAAAATTTAAAAGAAAGGAGTATCCCTCAATAGCTTAGGTTGTTACATTGATGTATGTGAAAAATTATGTTTTTACCTTTTAAAAAATTTACTTAACAAAATAAGTTTATATTGTTATAAACTCCAGATTTTCAAGAAAAACAATTCCAAGTATTTTGTTAAATGTTCTCACAAGTTATCAAAATATTATAGAAAATCATGACTGTGTCCAATATAAATGTATCTCCCATATTTTTTGCCTTTATATAATATATGCTTTATGAAACTGTGAGTTATGTTTTTTAATTCAGATAAATATATTGACCATAATTATCTTCCTTTACCTGCATCATATTCTTATGCATACAAGCTACAGTCACTGCTGCTATTCTTGTTAAAAGCCAATGAGTCAGTTCTGACCCAAAGAGACCCTGTATAGGGTTTCTGAAGAGCCGCTGGTGAGCTTGAACTACTGACCTTGTAGTTCAAACCGACTTTGCAGTCTAGTGCATTAACCCACAGCACAAAACCACTAGCTAAAGTGATAGTAACCACTAAATATCATATTTATGAAGCTAATTGATTACACAGTCATAGAATGATGCTGTGGTTTATTAAGCCTAGTAGATTGGTGAGTATCTTAAAATGATTACATTCAAGAACCATTTATTTACAGCTCCTGCAGTGTGCATAACATGAAGCCTGTAGATGCACAAAGATAAGTATGTTATCACCTAGGGAAAGGTTATTGAAAAAATAAAGGGCTATATTACCAGGATCTTTGTTCGGACAACTCCGCTCAAAGACAAGAGAATCAAGAGCAAGATGACACCAATACCAGAAATCACTTACAGAAAAAGACTTTTCCTTGTTTAGGAACAAAGAAAATCAGGTGCCAGAAACGAAGTGTCAGCAGAATCAAATTTGGCAGAGAAATCAATCATAATAGGGAGAGAGAAAAAACAAAAAACATTCAACTTAGCAATTAAGGTGTCATTAGTGACCTTAAAGCGAACAGTTCAGTAGTGTTGAGAAAACAGAAACCGAACTGTCTGGGACAAAGGAATGTGTCCGAGATGAGGGTCTGTAGGAACCACTAGAGACTACTCTTCCATAAGAGACAGAAGTGGAGAGCAAGCAAGGTGGATATTCAGGAAGGGAACTTTGAGTTTATTTGAAGGTTGAAGAGGAGGATGCAATTTTATAACTAAAATGTGTCCAACTACATTCGCGTTGCCAAAGGAGAAAAAGCAAAAAAAGGTGAGGGATGGGATTCTTATAAGGCAAAATGTATTAGCTATCTGGCCACGTTCGATGTGAGAGATAGAAACTATTTAATTCCTGTTTAACACATTCTGTATCTGGATTGCTTAGAAATCCAGGATTTGTTTAATAATTACTTTTGCTTCCGGATTCCTTCCTCATATGGCCTTACCTCGATTTCTTTACTAGTAAAAGCCAAAAAATCAATGTGCTTTTCAGAAGAAAAATTAAATCAATGCAGTTTCTGTGCCAAACTGTGATAATAAGCCACGACACTTATGTTTTAATTAAAACATGGAAGGGGATTCAAGTACCAAAATTTAATTGACATGTTTATAACAGCATCCCATGTGCCAAATTAATCCATAAAGACGTATTTTGCATTTTTGAAGCTTGAATCCATTCACAAAAGTAATCAGTGTGTTCCGCCACCCAACCTTTTCCCTAATATGTACACAAAGCCACGTCTTTCAAAATCAAGACCAAAGTTATGTATAGCATATAAAACCTTCTTGCAGTCTGAGAGTGAACTAGGAAGTGGCTTTTGAAGTTCTGCTTTACTTACTTATGAGGAAGGTTGTCCTAATACTTGGTGATGGTCACCATTTACAACTTTTAAATGAGTTAGCTTTTTAATATTAGTGTGAGCCCAGGATAAATCAGGACTTGTCAGTTTCATTCTGTAAATTGCTATAGTGGTCATGCAAAAGTTCCTTCCTGGAACAGTCTTATGAGATATACTTTATTTCATAATGCCTGAGGAGCCCAGAACTCAACTCTTAAGGAAGATGCAATACTGCTCATGGCAATACTGCTCATGGCTGCCTATTGACTACCAGTGTCCACAGAGTGCTCTGTCTGCCTTAATTCTTCCCTCACCACCACCACTGGACCAAACAACCCTGAGAGTATCCCTCACAGTTCTGCAAAAACTGCTGAGGGAAAGCAAGAAGGAAAACCAACAAACAAAAAGACTATAGAAGAAGAAAGGATCAAAAAGGACTTCAGTGGGAATGTAAGAGAGTGAGCCACACTAACAACCTTACAATGCACAGTCTGCACAGCAACAAGAGAGAAGGGGTGGTTATTGTTAATTTCTGTTTCAGTGGGGTGAAGAGTTGGCGTTTGTATTTCCTTGCTTTCAGTTCTTGCATAGATCAAGATATAGTCTGCTATAACAATTGTAGCATACCGTTGGGCCAGAAAAGTAGCTGCAAAAGTATCAGATCATCATAATCTTGCAAGAAAGCAGAATAAATGAAAAAAGAATGATGTCTCCTAGCTTTGTGCATATAATATTAGTTATTTTGTAAAGTCATACTTAATAGGGGGAAAGTCTTGCCTGCCTCAAGGCATAATCTATCATTTAAACTATTTTTTCCACTTGACTATTTAAAGTTTCCATGCCTGGCAGCTTCAGTGTCTGTGTTCAAAATTAACAAAGAAATAAAAAATAAATCACATTTGTTGGCACACTTCTCTAGTGGGCCTTCTTTACTTCTCTGTTTGCTCACGTAGCATGAAGCTGCCATTTCTGCCATGCAGACTGGAAGTAAAGAGGAAATGACTAACACACACTATCTTGTACTTGAAATCAAGGAATGAGTCAGAACAACAATCCGAGGGTCTTAATTGCCACCACAATGTCTGTGAAGAGTAGAGGGAGAAAGATAAATGCCCTGTTCACATCTTTGTTTTTCAAAGTTAACATGCTAGAATCTAGAATTTTCTCCAAAAAAAAAAATTTTTTTTTTCCTTGGCATCATTCATTAAGGAAAAGCTTTTCTATTTTTTGAGGAATTACAGCATTCTCTAATAATAAGACAGCCTCCTAGTACCTTGGCAAATCTGAAAATTCCATTACTGGGATTGTCATCATTTCAGCATTTCCTTAGGGGATAAGTTTTAGTTAGCAAATAAAATGGATTGCACAGTAAACTCCTTTTAGAGCTTCTCATGCAATTATGGATGCTGCAGAAGTCACTGGAAGAACAATTTCCCACTTTGAGTACTCACCAGTCATGCAAAAGTGAGAACAATGTTTGTAAAAGCAGATGGGAAGTTCTGGTTAAACATGTGCTAGCTCTTTCATTATCTGCATCAAAAATATACCTTGCTCTATTTGTATTTTTATGTTTATATGGTATAGTCCTCCAAGCTTAAAACCACTTAGAGAAGAGTTTGGCATGAGCAATGAAATCGTAACCACTCTGAAAGGTTTAAACAGTGATTAGAAACTACCATCTTTATGTCTTCCTTAGAGGACCACAAATGCCTATAACGGTCTTGCAGGGTTACTCCACCTGCCTTCAGACTCCCAGCTGCTTAGCACACACACGTGGT